TACGATGTTCGGCTACAACCGCAAGATGCATGCAGTTGTTTGTTAACCGCTACAGGGCTCTACAGTGTGACCATTTCAGTCGCATTTGCGACTGAAAACTACTGCGTGCGACTATAGACATTTTTTTAGGAGCACCAGTGCGACTGACCCGATCATCATCATATTTGTGATTGCGCTCAGGGGAGCTTCAAATGTTTCTACGTGTTTTTGCAGCGTTGAGTGATGTATCACAGACATATCACGAATCCTTTCATAAGCAAAGTGAGAGCTTCATTGGCAGTGTAGAGAGCTTCGTTGATTATAGATGTGAGGTCAAGATGAACTAAGATGAGTGCCAGCTTTTAATGATTTTAAAGGAGTTTGTAAATGTGATACTGATTTAATAGAATTCAATAAACAAGAAGTTAATATTAAGTGACTTACATTGCCTGACTATAACACTATCGTCTGATTTTGCTCTATTTCGTCATTGAAAATAGTTTCAAACAAAGTCACAGCTCAGCCGCTGCGCATCTCCATTCAAACACAGCGGTGTCTCGTTTATGAATGAACTCGTAATGATTCAGCCGTTCGAATGAATCAATTGAATGAATGATTCCGTGATAAAAGCAGTGACTTGTCGCCACCTGCTGCCAGTTTGTTTCATTTTAAAAGTATCTTTTCAGTTATTTAAATCATTTAATATTTCTATATTCAAATTTTTATATTTAAAACATTAATATCATCATGAATTTATGGATTTAATTGCACTCATTCCACTTCTGAGCCTCATTAAATGTCTGAAAGTACACCAAGCCACTTTTGTGTTCTTCTGTGCCACCTCTACAAATTAATTTAATTTGATTGGTAACTTATATTTCTTATTCTACTTGTTCTTATTCTGTTGTTTTAATTACTAATCCTTTAATTTTATTTTTAAAAAGCTTGTAAAATAGAATTTTTTGGTAACACTTTACAATAAGGTTCATTAGTTAAACATTAGTTCATGTATTAACTAACATGAACTAACCATGAGCAATACATTTGTTACTCTATTTACTAATCTACGCTCACGTTAGTTAATAAAAATACAGATGTTCATTGCTAGTTCATGTTAGTTCACAGTGCATTAACTAATGTTAACAAGATTTTAATAATGTATTAGTAAATGTTGAAATTAACATTAACAAAGAATAATAAACTCTGTATAAGTGCAGTTCATTATTAGCTCATGTTAACTAATGTAGTTAACTAATGAACCTTATTGTAAAGTGTTACCAATTTTTTTAAGAATTTGACAAAAGATGACATACTTTTCGATAACATTTTGGATAATTGTTTAGAAGGTGCTCCTAAAATTTTGAACGTGCTCCTAAATTTTGTAAGTTAGGAGCACAAGTGCTCCTAAAAAGAAAAGTAAGCGTAGAGCCCTGTGCTAGAGCGCCAAAAGTTGCGGACTGCAGCTTTAAATGTTTAAACTAACATTGTAATATGCTTTAAGTGTTCTATATCTACAGATTTTATTTTAAGCAAGTTGTGATGATTTGAGAAGGCTAAATTGATCAAACGTGATCAACTCAGCTGTCTGCCACTATCCGCTTGGTCGTCACTAAAAAAAAATTGTTTTGTCGTTTCACAGAACTAAGATATGGTTTAGATGTAGTAACAGAGCAGTTTTAAGTGTCATTGGTTATCTGAAGCTGGTGTGATGCTTGGATGTACCTGTACTCGTGTCGTTTCTACATTTGTTTGCCCATTTGCATTGTTTTGCTCGGCCTTAGCTATGATAAAGACACATCCATTTAATGCCTGTGTTGCATAGCATGTTTGTTATTTTGAGGGTGGAGCAATAAATGGAGTGGCATGTTTTTGTTGTAGCGTATTTGTTTTGAATCAATTTCAAACATTAAGAGGAACTTCTCATAAATCACTTACATTAAGTTTCAAGCCTCTTAGGGCACCGTGATAAGTCTTTGTACGCACATGCATCGAGTAAGCTAAGGATTGTTTAATTATTAGTAATTCCTTTTGTTGAAGCATAGCCAAACATCCTGTCACGAATTCGGGTCATGGACTTCCGTTTATTCACCACCAGATGTCACCCTTTCCATTACATTGACTCTCGCACAACACAAACTGTTGCATAGCACCCCGGACTACATTTCCCATCATTCTTTGCACAATTTGCACACTGCCCTGATTGCACTGATTGCACACAGCTGTTTCTAATCAACTCACTCACTATATAACACCCACTCTAACCACATTTCTCTGTTGAGTATTGTTTAGCCTGTACCCCTTTCCGAGTCTTCCTTGTTTTGCCTTGCCTTGCCTGTTTTTGCGGTTTTGATCTTTGCCTGTTTTCTTGGATTTCTCCCTCTCGTCTCGCCCCTGTGATTCTGTCTGCCGATCGGTGACCTATGCTAGCCCTGTGACTATTCTTGTGTTTTGCCCGCCATATACCTGTTTGCCATTGTTTGACCCTGCCTGTTTACCACGTCTCTCTATTAAAAGCTTGCAGATGGATCCACACGTCTCACGTCTCGTCAGCCCCGTTACACATCCTGATCAAGTATACACTGCTATGGGAATTGTCATATTTCTGTGCCTTCAAGGAACATACGAAAATAAAAATTCTGTCACCATTTATTCACCCTCACATGGTTCAAAACATGACTCTCTTTTACAGAACACAAACAAAGATGTTTTGAGAAATGTCTATGACATTTTTGGGTGAACCATTCCTTAAACCAGAACTGGTAGACAGAATCACTTTGAAGGACATAATTTATATACAGTGGTGTGAAAAAGTGTTGGCCCCCTTCCTGATTTCTTTTTTTTTTGCATGTTTGTCACACTTTAATGTTTCAGATCATCAAACAAATTTAAATATTAGTCAAAGATAACACAAGTGAACACAACATGCAGTTTTTAAATGAAGGTTTTTATTATTAAGGGAAAACAAAATCCAAAACTACATGGCCCTGTGTGAAGAAGTGTTTGCCCCCTAAACCTAATAACTGGTTGGGCCACCCTTAGCAGCAACAACTGCAATCAAGCGTTTGCGATAACTTGCAATGAGTCTGTTACAGCGCTGTGGAGGAATTTTGGTCCACTCATCTATGCAGAATTGTTGTAATTCAGCCACATTGGAGGGTTTTCGAGCATGAACTGCCTTTTTAAGGTCATGCCACAGCATCTCAATAGGATTCAGGTCAGGACTTTGACTAGGCCACTCCAAAGTCTTCATTTTGTTTTTCTTCAGCCATTCAGAGGTAGACTTGCTGGTGTGTTTTGGATCATTGTCCTGCTTCAGAACCCAAGTTTAAAAATAAGAAATCAGGAAGGGGGCCAACACTTTTTCACACCACTGTAGATGAACACTTCTGAAATCCAAAATCTGCATTCTTAGCAGTTTGGAGATATTGAACGGGGCTCGACATTAACGCTTGTCGGATTTTGTGAAGGGGCAAGTGAAAGAGAATTTTACTTGCCCGACCGGACAAGTAAACTGATAAAAATTTTATTAACAAACAATAACTAGGGCAGCACCGAAACTTTGGTGAGAACTATTCTGATTTTATTACTTTCAGTGTAAACGGTGACTAATAATGAGTAATGTATTGACAGTATCAAGGTCGTGTCGGTTGAGGCTCGTGCAGCCTGTCTGACTCACGGGAGAAATCAAAACTATAAGCGCAACACCACACACAAAGAAACAAACATGAACAAACATACTGCGGTACAAAAAAAGATAAATATTCTATATAACATATGCAACAACCAAGAGTGATGTTTTCCCGACTTTCAGCATGATTGCAAATGTGATATTGATTTGATACAACTTTAGTTCAATAAACAAAGAATATTAACTGACTTACATTTTACATACATTATTGATAGTTTTTGCTCCAATTCGCTAACGAAAATAGTTCTAAGCAAAGCCACAGCAGAACAGCATCTCCGAGCAACACACAACAGTCTTTCGTTTCTGAAAGATTCAGCATTTTTGAACGAGTCAATAATTCAAAGAGCCATTCATAAAGACAGTCACTTGTTCATTTATTGAATGAATCAGCCGTTTGAATGAATCGGTTGAATCAATGTTGCAATTCTTGCTGCCATGTTGTGGAGTCGCTGTGTGTTTCGTTGTGAAAGGACACGACTAGAAATCAGTGGTTAAGTTGTATTTACAACACTGTTCCAGAACACTTCAACCCAAATATTCAGATGTGTGCAGCACATTTTATGGAGGATGAGGACTGTTTCTTGAACCAGTAGCCTAATGCATCTGTGGCTGTTTCTATAAAGTTGGGCAGTTCAAACTTTGCAAGGACAGTCTGTAAGTCCGTTTTTTTATATTTAAATAATTTGCGACTGACGATTCAAACGCAAGTTTTGAGCAGTGTAGAGTAGGGCTTGTTGTTTGTCATTTCTCCGATCACAAATGCAGACATGGTTTTATGTTTACGCGGCGCGATACGCAACGCGTAAAAAGACTGTATAACTCATTATAATCAGTAATTATGTCCCCACTGGATGCTACAAATGCCTCGTTTGTAATGGGTTTTAATGTTTTTGTCTCGTCGCTCCGGCCGGACACGGCATCAACAGTATGTGAGGGGCGTAACATTTCCGTCTCACGCTTGAGGTATTCGGCCAATCACAACGCACTGGATAGCTGGCCAATCACAGCACACCTCGCTTTTCAGACCGATGAGCTTTGTAAAAATCGACGAGTTTCAAAAAGGTGGGGCATAGAGGAGAAACAATAATGTACAGTATGTGGAAAATAATGTGTTTTTTTAACCTTAATTAGACACATAGACACATTTCATTACACCAAATACACAAAATAATGTTTTTTTTGCAGCGTCATATGACCCATTTAAACAGTCTGAGTAAATACATCTAAGTGGCACTTTCGATGCAGCTTCTGTGTTTCCTCTGCAGTGGAAAGATAGAGTTTGTTGATACTGATTTCATTTGAATAGTAACAACCATATACTGTCTTATTATTCTAAATTAATTTATTGATCAAATTTAAGAATTTGACGTAAATGGTGACATTTAATCAGCTTAGGAAAATATTGTTCTTCATAAAGTGTAACAGCAATCAATTTAAGGCAGATATCACAAATATGCTGATTAAAGTAATACCTGATAGAGCACTGATGAGACTATTGCGTTAGAATAAATTACATTTGCGCCAAAGAAAAAAGAAAGGAAAAAGAACCCCGGGCAAGTAACTTTTTTACTCGGACAAGTACATAATGTCTGGCCCTGTTGAGCTTCAAAGTTTTTGCATTTCATTTGACTTTGTAGTTTGAAGCTTTTTGTTTTCTAAAACAAGTCCCAAAATGTACAGCATGAAGAAAAATACATCACAATGTAAATAAATTGTCACTGAATAAGAATATGTGAATAACTCAATTTTTGCACTTTCTACTTTTAACCAAAGTTATTATCTACGAGCACATTTCAATAGTTTCACATGTTAGGATGAGATTGATCAAAATTTCATAAGCTCTTAAGGATGTTGTTAATATCCTTCCTGGAGCTTCCTTCACCTTTTCCTGGAGACTTTTGTTATGACCTCTATGATCCTGTTACAGAAAAACATATTTAGTGATTTAAGATCAAATGTAAGTTAATGCAGACTGTTAAATTATAACAATAAACAAAATGATGCTGAATAGTGTTGTGATGGACCCACCTCTCTGCTGCAACTCCATGTGCACAAAGACAAGCAAATACATGCATGTGTGACGAGGCGATATGGAAATGTGTGAAACTCTCTTCCTTGTCCCAGTCAAAACAGGTTGCCTTGAAATGCTCAGCTACACTTTTGAGTGCACGTAAATCCATCTTACAATAATCTTCATCCAAATCATCATGTTTAAAACCAAATTGCTGACTGATAGCTTCAACTGTTCCTTCAATTTGAGCTTTAGCCTGGAAGATAATGATTCATGTATGAACACAAACACATTCTGATAAATAAATAATATTGTTACTAAAACATAATTTTATTTAACATTATAGGATTTTCAAGCTGCGCGATTTGATGTCATAACTGTATTTTCAAACACTATCATGGCATGAGCAGAAATGTACATTAAACAAGCCATTTATAGTTTTTTCTCCTCCCGGGCTGTCGAATATGAAGAAAACAAATATAGATACTTGGCTTTTCTGTCTCAATGAAGCAAACATGTGCATGTGTGTTGTCTGTCTTTCTCTCTCTCTCGATATCTGATAACTGCATATACAGGCTGAAGCAACGGCTTGAGATAAGATGCATGAGAAATTAGTCCTACCAACACAACCATTTCAGGACAAATACCTTACAAATGTCTTGAGATAAAACATCTGAACAACATCTTGTGGTGTGGTAACCGTGGTATAAGTGCAATAGTAGAAGACAGTCTGTTGAATTCTTTGGCTGCATGTTTCTAAGAATTCAACAGCCCACCGTCAATTATTCCTTACTTAACACATTGTTGAAATCTTTCAACAAACAAACACTAACTCAGCTACGGGGCTATAGACAGTTTCGTCGGACGCAGGGGACGTCTACCTATAGGGATGTGACACCTGTCTAAGCATTCATATATAAGGTCCCTCAGTATTATCAGCAGTTTTCGCGTTGCTCAATAGCTAATGACCCTCCTCCATCCCCAGCTCCTCCTCTGCCAGTCAGGATTCAGCCTTTGTGATGGACACACCTCTCTGCTGCAACTCCATGTGCACAAAGACAAGCAAATACATGCATGTGTGACGAGGCGATATGGAAATGTGTGAAACTCTCTTCCTTGTCCCAGTCAAAACAGGTTGCCTTGAAATGCTCAGCTACACTTTTGAGTGCACGTAAATCCATCTTACAATAATCTTCATCCAAATCATCATGTTTAAAACCAAATTGCTGACTGATAGCTTCAACTGTTCCTTCAATTTGAGCTTTAGCCTGGAAGATAATGATTCATGTATGAACACAAACACATTCTGATAAATAAATAATATTGTTACTAAAACATAATTTTATTTAACATTATAGGATTTTCAAGCTGCGCGATTTGATGTCATAACTGTATTTTCAAACACTATCATGGCATGAGCAGAAATGTACATTAAACAAGCCATTTATAGTTTTTTCTCCTCCCGGGCTGTCGAATATGAAGAAAACAAATATAGATACTTGGCTTTTCTGTCTCAATGAAGCAAACATGTGCATGTGTGTTGTCTGTCTTTCTCTCTCTCTCGATATCTGATAACTGCATATACAGGCTGAAGCAACGGCTTGAGATAAGATGCATGAGAAATTAGTCCTACCAACACAACCATTTCAGGACAAATACCTTACAAATGTCTTGAGATAAAACATCTGAACAACATCTTGTGGTGTGGTAACCGTGGTATAAGTGCAATAGTAGAAGACAGTCTGTTGAATTCTTTGGCTGCATGTTTCTAAGAATTCAACAGCCCACCGTCAATTATTCCTTACTTAACACATTGTTGAAATCTTTCAACAAACAAACACTAACTCAGCTACGGGGCTATAGACAGTTTCGTCGGACGCAGGGGACGTCTACCTATAGGGATGTGACACCTGTCTAAGCATTCATATATAAGGTCCCTCAGTATTATCAGCAGTTTTCGCGTTGCTCAATAGCTAATGACCCTCCTCCATCCCCAGCTCCTCCTCTGCCAGTCAGGATTCAGCCTTCTGATTCCCCTTTGAATCAGACTAATTTCTAAAATGTTTACATTTTTTTTGCTTGTTATCAGAACTAATCTCTACTCTACAGGGACTCTGTTGTTATTGATTCTTTGCGGAAGTCTACCGGAAGTAAAGTTTGGGCCTAACGTTTGTTTATGTTGTTGCCATTGAAACTGCAGGAAATCTTGTAGGTGACCCTGATAAACTTTAGTTAGTTATCAATAAAGGGTTTTTAAGGATTTTTGTCATCCATTAACACTACTGTAGAACATCTGCACTTGACATATTGGTTACATATATGATGTAATGTATTACATAGACATCAAACCTGACGAAGAGCTTCATGTTTTCTTTTCAGACGTTGTCTCCTGCCTGTATGAGTTTCTGTTCTAATTCGGTGTTCCAAGATTTTGAATGGCACTTCATGGTTAGAGGTCAAATGAGTTAACGCAAACCGCTGAGCTCTTGTCTCGTCCCGAACTCTTCGAGGGGTGTTATTCACAAACTCACTGATTGGATGTTCACCCATTTTCTAAAGAAAAGTCAAAACAAAAACACTAGAAACTTTAAAATACAATACTGATGGAATCCAAATATGAATGTCTTCCCATTACGAGAATTGAATTTAGTGTTTTATTTATTAATGTATGCTGTGTAAAGTATTTTTTACCATGTCCCCAAAACGCCCGGAGTGAGACTTCGTCATCTCTTCCTGAAGATAACTAAACTGATCCCGGAATGTTTTATTATCAAGGTCATTCTGAGAAATAAAATGTTTTTTATTTATAGTCTTATTTGATAGCATAATTCTATATTTGACTCAAATCACACTAAGACAAACCGCTTCCATGTAGCACATCCAAAGAGCTGAGAATTCATCAGAGAGAAAGGTCTCCCTCTTAATGTCAAAATAACAGGCATAACTGCTCTCATCTGCTCTCGCTGCAGTCACAGCATACACTAGAAAACACAGTGTGTGTATGTATATATATATAAAATATATAATTTCATTATAGTTTAATATAATTCCCCTTCTTACCATGAAGGTCGTTAGGAAGTTTGGTGAACATCGATCCGGAATGACAGGATTCCATGTATATCACCATCTGAATCACATTTTTAAAAAAAAGCATTGGAGAGGTATATAGAGGTGTAATAAAACCTTAAAAGCTCATTTGGAAGTAAACAATCTATTACTTTGCATTTTGCAATTTACAAATTTGAACTCTCTGTAGTATTTAAATTTATTACAACTTCTGCTTTGCTACATTTTAATGTCTTTTACTCCACATAAGCATCTCTCATTGCCATGATATTTTTTTTTAGCTTGTTTTATTATTTTGCAAAAAGAGAACAGTGTGCATGCCAGAGCTGGAAATTAATGAGGGATTGCATTGTCTGTTGAAACATTTCAACAAATTGCGAACATTTCTTTTAAGTGCATTACTTAACTGGCTGATATATATATATATATATACCAAGCCTTGCTAAGTGTTTTTTTTTTCCTTTTAGTGTGAATATGTTAGCCTTAAGGATATCTATAAATTAGTGTGCTCCAAAACATTGGCAAATTTTACATATACAAGCTCTTAAGTCTGATTTAAAAAAAAACGTGTCCACGTTCACAGCAGCAGAATACGGTTGTCAGTCCTGTATTTGAGTCCTTAATACGGTTACGTTCACACACAGTTCAGTTATTTACGGGTGTGACAACCACATTCTGTAACCGAACTCACACCCGTACATTTTCAGGACTCGCAACCGCATTCTCGGAGAACACTCGCTGTATGAACGGAACAGGACTGGACAACTAGTGTCGGTCACGTCATACAGTGATAGAAAACACACGTCAGAAAGTGAACGTGTGAACGGGACGGGACATTTCGAGACTCACACCTGTAAGTAAATGCGGTTGTCAATCCCAAAAACTGACACTTATTGTTTCAGAAGAGATCTCAACAACGTCTCAAACGGAGCTCAGATTTGTCAAATCTTCAATTATTCACTCATCTCTGGATGAACTCAAACATTGTTCAAATCAGGGCTCTGAACCGGTTCAAGGAACGAAAACGAAAAACTGGAAACAAACAAAATTTTGACAGAAACAAACGAAATCGTATAGTTCCGAACAGAATAGAAAATTTTAAATGGGCATTAACTGGTTAATAACGTTATTTTGTTGTTCCTTTTAATATTTTAAATTTGCTGTCAACCAGTCACGAATTCCAGTAGTACGCCTAGGCAAATGTTAGGTGACGCATCTAATAAATGCCCGCCCGTGCTCAACTGTGAACTCATCAAAGGAAAGTCACAATGGCAATGCGTTTAAGATGGATTCAACAGATCACACACACATGCAGCACTTCTGTGAACGGAGAAAACTGAATAAAATTATAGGCTTACATAAAAAGGAATATATAGGCATATACACGAAATATATTTCATTTAAATCATGTGAAGGGTCATGTATCTTTCAGACTTGTTCAGTACTCTGTACAGTAGTCAAGTAATTTGTTCAAAGAGCAAAATATACCACAAAACTAAATCTAAAACACAGTGGTGGGTCAGTTTTGATTAAAATGGTAAATGTTCATTTCTTTCAATGCTGCAAATATGCCGAGCCATCATTATCGTTCAACAACTGGTTCTTTTCATTCACGAACAGTTGGATCTACTGAACGAATACGCCCATCACTGTAGTTGCCGTTTTGAGTCTGAACGAGAGAGAGAGATCTCGGTCGTGAATGAATTGAACAACTTGTACATGTTGTTCGTAGGTCGGTCATTAGCATGTGAGCCGATCTCGTTCAGCAATCAGCAGAAAGTGGATGCAAAGCGCAGTAATACAGGAGATAACTCCACGACACGTTTAAAATAATCCTATATTTATGTATGTGTAAATGTCTGTCTAAACAATTAAAATGTCAATTATGCAAGAAAACCTTGTGTTTTGGTCAGCTGAACCACGTATTTACATTTTATTTATTTAATGATTAGATTAAGCACACGCTTTAATAAAGCCAAATCAGTTTTTTGTAACAAATACGTTCGTTGACAATACATAATGCATACTCTTTTTCGCCACCTGCTGGCGTATTTATGTAATATGAAGAAATGGTCACTGAACGAATCAGTGAACGAATCTGAATAAATAATTTTAGTGAATGAACTGAAAATGAACAAATCTCTTGAAAGAATCAAAATTTACCAATAATGGTAAAAACAGTGGTTTGATAGAGATTGAGCGAAAAATCTAGGACTAGTTTGTAAAAGTAGATTTTTAACATAATTGAGAATAACTAATGAACGATTTGATTGACACCAATGGTTCTTGAGGCAAAGTTGCATGAAATGAGGAGATCTATCAAATTATATGCATATTTTGTGGCTGTGTGAAACACCATGTGATTACAGAGCCATAAAACTTGTTAGCGCCAACTAGTGGCCGATTTCTTTCAAAATTCTTACAGACCTTTAGGGCCATCAGTCGAACATGCCCACTGAGTTTCGTTCCGATCGACATCCGTTAACCTTGTCTAATGGGTGCTTAAACTTCTTTTACCAATGTTTTTTGAGATATGCAAATGTCCTCATAGACACTTGTGCCACTTTGGATAAAGTCACTGCATACCAATTTTCAAGTTGATCGGACCAACGGTTGCGTAGTTATAGCCGTTTTTGTTTTTTCCGTCTTATTGCACCACCAAGTGGCCACACTCATTTTTTATTTGACCAAAGATTGAGCTCGTACACATGTCTACCAAGTTTGGTGAAGATATATCATTCCATTCAGGAGTTGTAGCCATTTTAGTAAAAGTGGCCACGTCCCTTACAAACTTTTTGGCGCCCCTTTGTGACCATGAGTCAAAAGTTCACTTTTTTTTATATAATTATTGATACTCACTGTCCAGAGAATATTTCTGCACTGGTTTAGTTCCGATCGGGCGAAAAACCTAGGACTAGTTTGCAAAAGTAGGTTTTGGACAAAATCCAAAATGGTGGGAAAATTTGCATACCGGATTATAAGGCTATAAGACACTTGATTCTGCGACAAACGGTCTAGTAGTTATGAGCAGTTTCGCCTTTACGATCGCTGTAGCGCCCCCCCATAGGCCGATTGGGACGAGTCTTTGCCAGAATCTCCCCTCAGGGAGCTCTACCATCTGGCCAAGTTTCAGCTCTCTAGGCCTTACGGTTTGTTCTGCACAATCAGTTTTAGCGGAGAAAAATAATAATAATAAAAAAAATCCTAACAATTACAATTGGGTTTCAGCACTACGTGCTTGAACCCCTAAATAGACAACAGATTACAGATAAGAAAAGTACAGATTACACTACAGTAGTACTTGAGTTCTTTTTCCAGCTCTGGTGTTCTGGGAAAAGAGCCCATACAGTATATGGACTATTTTTTAATTGGTGTATACAAATGTTTGTATTTACCTTTGAGAACTTGTTATCTCTTGCCATTTCCTTGATTGTTTCAATGAAATCATGGGCGTGAAGCTGCAGGAAAAGGATTGAAATAGATCACTATAATATAAGCGGTTAAATAGTGTTCAATGTTTTATTTAAGTACTTATCTATTTAGTAAATTTGCAAGCCGATCATAAAAATACTCCCAATAATGATAAGTTACTGGTATATACAGTATATGAATGATTCCAATTCTTGCTTAGAATTCTCATAAAGAATTATAGCTCCACACATTATTTTATGACTACAGATGTAAACAGTATATTGAGGTTTACTGGCTCGAAATCATAATACCGGTATATTTTTAACCCTAGAGGGAACAAAACTTACAGTGCTGTTAGGAAAAGTAAATATGCCTGAACCACCATGATCTGCCAGATAGATGAATATTGTGTCATTTCCTCCACTGTGAGACACAAAAAAGATAACATTTATATATTTTATTATCATTTAAAATTAAACAATATCATTATCTTCCGTCCTTATCCTTATTTGTATAAAAACTGTAATTGACTAATAAGACAAACCTTGTAATGACTTTTGGATTTTTCTTTTTCACAGCTCGCCTGTCTCCTTTGAGAGCAGCCAGGAAGTTTTCAGGTGTTACATCCTGTAAGACAGTCAGTGTTGTGTTTACTGCAGGTATAGGATGAAAATATCAATTGTGTTTGACAAAAAGAATATAAGAATATAAGACGATGTTTTTTTTCTTGGAAATACATCTGAAAAAATGCTGTCGTCTTATATTCAGGGTCTAGACTTTTAACATGTCAATAATACACCCACAACAATAGGTGGCGCCAAATACACATAAAACCAGTGTGCCATGAAATACGTAATGTAATGTGTGGTGTAAAGATCGCGAGTAAAAACTAAAGAAAAAGAAAAGCTTACAGCTGCATGAGTCGTGACTGTCACGTTAGCCTGATTTTAAAACGTAAGACAGTACCCAGATTTGAAGACTACAGTAAGATTTAACTTCTACTGTTAATAAGATTTTGGTAGGCTACTATTCGATGGATAGCCTGAATGTCCTAATTCAGATGGGCTACCGCTTTTTTTTTTTAATGGTATATCAAAAAGTGCATATTTTTTAAATGTGATTGTTGGTACATTTGACCAGTTTTTACCATACTTTCAAAACAAAAATTAAAATGGGAAAAATATGCAATATGAAAATAAAGAGAAAAAACGAGAGTTGGCTTTTAAAAAGCCTTTTTCCAAAAGGTACATCTTATAATCAGGGTCGTCTTATATTCGGGCCAATACGGTACCTCTCCAGTGTAATCTTTTGGAACGCCTGCATACACATTCAATCCGTTTGGTTTATTGATAATTGTTCCAGGATAAGGGTTTCTGTAAAGGAAGATAAAACATTATATGGGACATTTTGTGGCAAAACACTTTTATGTCCCATCATACGCATGATAATACATTGGCTATAATATTAATTAGGGATGATTTAAAATGGTACAGCATGACAGGAAAGATCTATGTGAATCCTGTGTTAAATCTGCTAAAAATGTACATCAGCAATGAGCCACATGACTTCCAAAATCTGCAGGAAGCCTCTTACTTCGGTGAACTAAATGTACTGCACCAGTTAAATAACCAGAATGCACACAAGAAAAACGGAGAAGGTGCCAAAAACTCACCTAGCTTAATCATAACTTTCTGTCTGATATATACAACTGAAACCACTTGACAACTGTGCCTGTTAGCCCCACTCATGACTCTTAATGTAGTGGTTAGTGTAGAGTGGTCAACCATATTAAATGCAGCAGATAAATCTAAAAGGATAAGGACCACAGGACCACCGGAGTCAGTACAGAGCCAATTCAGTGCTATGGGTAGCCTTGAAGCCGGATTGAAAATTCTCAGACTATTAGCATTGAGAAAGGACTGGAGGTGGTCAAACACATTTTTTTCCCCAAAGCCTTAGAAATAAAAGGTAAAGCAGAAATTGGGTGGACGTTTTTAAAAATAGATGTATCAAGCGAAGGCTTCTTTACTAGAGGCGTGATAGTAGCCACTTTTGGAAAAGCAGGAATGGAACCAGTTAAGAGACATTTGTTGAGAAAGGACACTTAACTGGGCCCAACTGACTCAAGAATTCATTAGAAAAATCTTGGGTGAATGACATCGAGCGAGCAGAAGGAGGGTTTCGCACAGGGTATGACATCCACAATCTCATCCATATTGCTATAAAATAGAGCATTCTGTGTAGAATTCAAATGTTCGCGTGACACAAGGCGCGTTTCCATTACAGATTTGCGCAAAACTTTGGCGATATTTTATTAATGTCGATAAAAAAGTATTGCGAAATTATGGCGTTTCCATTAAAGGTGCAATAGGTGATTGTCTTCAGAAATTTTTTTTGTTATGCTGGTTGAAAATCTCTTCACATCCCGATAGCAATCATTAAGTTAAGTGGTCTAAATGTATTTGTCTGTATTTATATATTCTGTGGAAGGCATAGGAACAAGAAATGTTCGTCCAATCAAAACGCTCGGTCCGAGCGTTTTAATATGCTTTCCTATCTGCCTGTCAACGTATGTATTAGCATACCTCTGCGCACCAGGTTCGTGCAGACAGGATTCGTCATCAGCGCGTTCACGCACGCTGTGCAGACAGAGCGAGGATGGCAGGCAAACATCAACAACCCGATCTTTCTTCCTGGTATTGTAGTACTTTTAAAGATTTCTCACCGGTGAATGACACATGATGTAGCCCAGCGGTTAATCTAGTCCTCGCGCCAGCTCGTTAGAAGTGAGCTACGTGCATGAACTGTGTTCCGATCGATATGATCCCTACACAGTGTTCATTGCTCCCTACTCCCTGAGCGGGGGAAATCCGTTGAAGTTTACTTCACTTCAGAACATGGGCTGGAATTGGGAACCTGATGTAGCCTATTGTAGTAATGTTGTCTCTGGTCTGTGAGTGTAAATGCGTTCAGGGGGCGTGGCTTTGGACGGCGATTGCAGGGAGGGTGGGACGTTCGCTTTCAGTGCTATCAGGCTTAAGTTAGCATTTTCCGAGATCTCCTACTGCACCTTTAACCAATGTTATGCGACTAAAACGTAACCTTTTGCCTCTCGCGACAAGTCATGTCAACGGATTTTGGTGGGATTTTGGACATATTTATTCAAAGGAGGCGTATGAGTGTATCTTTACAGAAGCAGCACAGAGAGCCACATCAGAAATGTGTGTGGCGCGGCTGGAAAAAACACAAGCACTGACTAGAGTGGCCGCAATCAGCTTCAGAGGCCGTATCAGAGCCACACTGCGTCGCAGACGTGTGCAGTGTAAATTGTCTAAGCATTAATGGTAGGGAAAGCCCCTTATACTGGAGAGCGGCCACGTATGAAGTGTTTCTTGGCGGTTATAGTACATTGAAGAATGATCATATAGACTTTTTATATACGTTTAAAAAACGTTTCCATTGCAGTTTTGCGAATTGTTCCTTTTTTTCACATTGCCTGAAAAACCACCTCATGCGAGCGTAAAAACTTTTTTGCGTTATATGGGAGTTTTTGCGAAATTGACGCGTTTCCATTAGGCGTATTTTCAATTTGCAATTTCAATTTGCGCAATTTGAAGGGTAATGGAAACACGCCTACAGACAGCACAAAACCAGACTTCATTCGCCCCAATGAAAAGCATATTTACACTGTCTGAATCGTTCCCTATCCCCTATATAGTGTACGTTCACCATACAGAAAACACTAATTCTGTGAACAAGTGACCGATTACAGCCACAGCTTCAGCGTCTATTTGTAGTAAAGTGGGGGGCGGGATGCTTCAGATTCTAGAGAGAATTTGATTGGACAGAAAGTTTGATGAGAAGCTGAAGTGCATGGTTGATCCATATTGGCGGAAGTGTAATATCTTGTTATATCTTGTAAATGCGAATTTTGTCATTGTTTTGGAGCACACTAGCTTATAGATCATCTTAAGGCTAACATATTCATACTAAAAGCCAAAAAACTTCTTTAGACTTTAAATAGCTGTAGTGAAATATGTAAATTTAGAGGTTTTAGAGGAGCCGTCACATCTAGTACACACAACCAGAAAGGTGTTTCATGGAAATCACATTAAGCTCTTTATTTCTGTTAAGCAGATTAGACATGTTTGGCTTGTTATAGTTTATGCTGTATCTTATGAATTTTACGTACACGTAGTGCTGAAACTGAGCTGGTCATCAAATGACCTCAGTTTATCTTCAAAACACAGATTAAGATAGTTTGATGAGGTCTGAGAGCTTTCTGACTCCCCGCGACGAGGATACGTTTTGTGCACAAACAAAAATAATTAACTTTATTCAACAATTTCCTGACTTCTATATGCCTATACAGTGTAAAGAAATTAAATGAATTACTCACTGGCAAATAAATGGGCTCAGCAACCCATTATGGAAGGCTTTGTTTTATTTAATTTTGTGCATCATCGTAAATATTACGCAATTAATCCTGTATGGGGGAAAGAGTTGAGGTATGAATGAACCTTCCTCATACTGGCGTTCCTATTCATCTCCATCTCCATCAGTGCATGCTAGCCTGACTGCATTCTCAACTTTCCTTGAACAGGAAGTACTGTAGCCTGATGCTGAAACTAACTACTACATTTTCACTAATCATTTATTTTGTTCCTTTGAGCAGCACAAGCAACTTTCTCAATATTACTTTATTTAAATTATTTTCATAGACAGGAGGCTTTACATTCATCTCAACTAATCATTCAGAAGGATATCGGAAACATAATAATCAGGTTTCTCCTGGCTGAATTTATGATCCATCTTGATTCTGTAACACAGACACAAGAATGGCCATAAATAAAAAGCATTTAATAGTACTTTAGAATATTGCCGTGTCAAATCAACCAGTTTATAGAGCCACATTACAGGGGGTAAAAATGACTTTAAAAAGATGGCAGCATCGTTATATAATTTTTAACACAGAGATTGCAGGTCTGATAGTTGAATAATTGCTTTGTTACTTGTCAATGGTGACCGTTCAAAAATGAAAGAAAAACACCTTTTTGGATTTATTTTCCAAAGTTTGCATGCCTGTAACTCAAGAAGTATTAAAGATATCCTAATATCATTTTAGATTCCAATTCATTAAAAACTCTTGTGAACTACATTTACAAGGCCCTATATGGTATCATTCCAGAGAAATAGAGAACTCAATGTGGCTTCATGTGCAAATTGTACTGTATATTGAACCTATTATCATTTTTCAAAAACCAAATCTGGGTCAATTTGCATACAGCTGATAACTGTTGTATTTGAGGAGGAAAGTCTGAAGGACAAATAATGGTGAAGGCAAATATGTAACCGTAACTTATAGCCAAAAATACCCTGAAATGGTTTTCCTCATTCTTTAAAGGGATAGTTCACCCAGATATGAAAATTCTTTAATAATTTCTTCATTCCTCATGTCATGTCAAACCTGTATGACTGACTTTCTTCTGCAGAACACAGAAGAACCTGCTGGGAAAAAAACGAAACAAAAAACAAACAAACAGCTAAACCCAGCCTGGTTGGCTGGTCTTAGCTGGTTTAAGCTGGAAGTAGCTGGTCTCCCAGGCTGACCAGCTAAGACCAGCCTGACCAACTAAGAAAGTGGCCAAAACCCCTCTAAAACCAGCCTGCTGACCAGCAATGTGGGTCAGACATAGGCAAACACAATCAGTCCCATATAGGCTGCCTACGTGGGCGAAAGTTGGTACCCACATAAGGTAACCTCTATATGGGTTCTGAATGAGCAAACACATATGGGACCCTCTTGGCCAAACCATACAGGTCAGACATAGGCAAACACAATCTGTCCCATACAGGCTGCCTACATAAGCCCAAGGTAATACCCACATAGGCAACCTCTATATGGGTCGTAAATGGGGAAATACATATGGGAGAGTGATGGGTCATTCATGAATGATTCGTTCACCGTGTCTGTCACATGACAAATGAACGAAAGACTCGGAAGGCAAAGTAATTATTTATGTTCCCTGTGAATGATCTTTGGCTACATTATAATGATTGTGAATATGAATATAATGAATGAATATGATCAAGATTGCATAGGTGGATGTGTTTGGGAAGTTTGGCTGTTAAAAGTGTACGATTTAAAGCCACTTAAACCAAGTTCACACTACACGACTTAAAACATCGGCAGATCGCTGTGCTGTTCAGACTACATGACTTGTTGTCTGTCTTGGTGTATACGTGACACAACATAAATGATCCGCAACGGGGGGTCACACATTACACGAGCTGACAACAACTCTGTCACCCAACGACTCTATCCAGTCCCCAAACCGCGTTTTGTCACAAAAACACATGTGAGAAGTGGAAAGGGAATGACGCGAAACAACACGTGAAACAGGTTTGCACGATGATCTGGTCTGAAAAATTTCGCTCCATTTCTTGTCCAAA